TTTTTTGGTTTTTCGAGACAGGGTTTCCCTGTGTAGCTTTGCGCCTTTCCTGGGACTCACTTGGTAGCCCAGGCTGGCCTCGAACTCACAGAGATCCGCCCGGCTCTGCCTCCCGAGTGCTGGGATTAAAGGCGTGCGCCACCACCGCCCGGCTGTTCTTTACTTCTAAACACTGGGATGAAATGAGTTCAGCAGACAGCACTGGCATCCATACAGGTTTCCAATGGACAAGTCTGGCACCTGAGCACCGACCTGGGTGGTTCTTGTATGGCCCAGCATCATCGGTGACTTCAAGATGAAGACAAAGACACAGAGTGCAACACCCAGACACAGTGCTTCAGAACATATACTCACCTTTAGGGGCCAAAAGTGTCCTGAGTCATACCCTAGATGTGGGCAGGTTGATCTATTTCACATTCTTTCTCCTGCTCACTAAAATTTAACGTTCTGTCACAGGGAGGTCAACTATACAAGATAACACACTGCACTAATGAATCCGTTCTACAGATAACAAAACAGGCTGACTGCTGTGGGATAATGCTTTTGTACACTGGTTTAATAAAATGCTGATTGGCCAGTAGCCAGGCAGGAAGTATAGGCAGGATAAGCAGACAAGGAGAACTCTGGGAAGAGGAAGGCTGAGTCAGGAGATACCAGCCAGGGAGCAGCATGTAATGGCACACAGGTAAAGCCATGGAACACGTGGCGACATAGAGATTAACAGAAATGGGCTGAGTTCAAGTGTAAGAGCTAGTCAGTAGTAAGCCTGAGCTAATGGCCAAGCAATTATAATTAATATAAGCTTCTGTGTGATTATTTTGTAAGCAGCTGTGGGGGCCGTGGGGCTGGGCAGGGTCGGAGAAAACTTCAGCTTCAGCTGACAGGTTCATTGCACGTTCCTGAAACTCCACATCACACCCAAAGCCAGGAAGTTTCCACCACGCCATCCAGGTTAGAGGCACGCTGAGCCTCTCATTTAGACTTAAGGAGTGCTCCCATGGCACACGCTGAGTGCTCCCATGGCACAGAGCACTAATGAAGGGATTCCAAAGTGAGTGGACCTCAGGATGACAGTGCCAGGGCGTTCGCAGACACTCCTCATTCTCTCCCAGGCTCGTCCTTCCTAAATGTTTCATGGTGCTGTCTTCATATTTTAAAATAGAGAATGCCCCACACAAGAAGTTTCTGACATTGCTGCTGTATATTCAAAAGGTAGTGAGGCTAGCCAAAACGAACTCAGCTTCCCTGTGTGTGTTGCTGGGGAGCAAAGCCCAGGACCCTGCATACACTAGGCTGATGCTCTACCACTGAGCTACACCTCCATCCAAAGCAGTAACAAAATGTATGCAGAAGACAGTGAAGAAGACAGAGGTATGCCTCATGGGCTGGAAGAGAAGAAAAATATATGGATAAGAGGAATGGGGGGGGGTGTTTAGAAAGAGGAATCTCAGATATATTGTCTAAAGGAGCCTTGAATTTTCTCTCCTCTTGCTTCTGCTTCCCAAGTGCTAGGATGCCAGGCAAATGACGCCACATCCGGCTTAACACAAATTTTCTGAGGCAGAATTAATAAGGATCAGCAGTGAGAGAATGAAGAAAGCAAAAAAATACAGCCATGTCTAGCATCCCTAAGAAAAAGTAGGTTCTCTATTGGGGCAGAAAGCTGTTAAATACTTGCCCATGCCAAAGCCGCACGGTAACCCTGGCTCTGAACTGCTGACTCTGAGGGATCAACAGTGGACTTAGAACAGGCATGATGAAAAAACAAAACAATAAAAACTCCAAACTCATAGGTGCATGTCATTAGGAATAAATACACTTCAGAAAAAGGAAGATGGCGAGAGCACAGTTTTGAAAAGTTGCTTACTGTGGTGTGAAATCTTTTCTGGAATAAGATAGTTTGACCACTGCCATGGGTGTCATTCAAAATACAAAATAGGGGGCTGGAGAGATGGCTCACCGGTTAAGAGCACTGACTGCTCTTCCAAAGGTCCTGAGTTCAATTCCCAGCAACCACATGGTAGCTCACAGCCATCTGTAATGAGATCTGGTGCCCTTTTCTGGCCAGAAGGGATATGTGCAGATAGAACACTGTATACATAATAAATAAATAAATCTTTAAGAAAAATACAAAATAGGACTTGGAAACTTTATTGTGATGACCCCATATATGACGTATGTGATCATCTACTCCTTCTCCTCCCTGATGTGAGGAACACCTTCGAAGCAGGGGTGATAGAGCCTTTCAGGAATACATTTCAACAGAAGGTCTGGGGCTATGGGCAGAAGGCGCTTGCAACTGTTGCTAACACTGCTTCCTACTTTGAGCAAGAGCACACGACTCCAGTCAGCAAGGCGCTGGTGAGACACATGCAGGCTTCCTGATCACATGGCATACTGCCTTCCACCAGGCTGCACTAAGTTGCCAAAGATGAAAGTCCAGGATCCAAAAAGAAATCTTGGCTACTTAAGCAAATGTTATAGTCCTTTTTCTATCTTAGAGAAGTAGTTGTCATAAAGGTCTAGAAACAGGTCATTTCCCACCATTTTTCTTGCTTTTGGCTTAACAGTGTTCATAATTAGCACCGAACCCTTGATTAAGATAAGTTTATGGAACCTCCGGCTGTAACTCTAGACTTCTGTGAGTTCCGTAGTTCTTCAGCTGTGCTTACAAGTGTTAGGGATATGTATATATTTTAGTTTAGTTTCCCCAAATAGAAGCACTGCCCGTTAGAGATGAGTTGGACTTACTGATAAAATTTTATGTTTGATTTTTATATAACAAGTTACAAAATACATTTTTGTGTAAAATAAAATAAAAACTTATAAAAAAAAAAAAAAGGAATAAATTTTAGCCAGGCCTGACAGGACAGACCTGGAATCCCAGCTAGTTTTGTAGAAGTCAAGACAATACTGCAGGTTCGAGAGTAGCCCTGATGGGGGCTGGAGTGATGGCTCAGTGGTTAAGAGCACTGACTGCCCTTCCAGAGGATCTGGGTTCAATTCCCAGCACCCACATGGCAGCTCACAACAGTCCCAGGGGACCTGATACCCATGGCAAAACACCAATGCACATAAAATGAAAATAGCCAGGCAGTGGTGCCGCACGCCTTTAACCCCAGCACTCGGGAGGCAGAGCCAGGCGGATCTCTGTGAGTTCGAGGCCAGCCTGGACTACCAAGTGAGTTCCAGGAAAGGCGCAAAGCTACACAGAGAA